CGGATACAATGTGGATAGCTTAATGAATATCCATGGATAAAATAAATGGATATTTAAATATCCGTTATTTAATGGATGTGGATGCGGGTTTAATGATACCCGTACCCGCAGATATCCATACCCGTTAATAAATTATAAAAAGTATTTAAATATTTTTAATTTATTATAGACGTCATTACATCTTCCAAGAAATTTAGTCTTTTCATATTTCTTTTTTTTAACGTTTTCTTGGAAGAAAAAGAAAACCTTTCACATTCCAAGAAAAATCATATTTAGTCATTTTATAACATGTTTTTATTACAGTGATTAATTATAATAAATTATTATTTGATATATTTTTATTACAGTGATTAATTATAATAAATTATTAGTTGACATATTCTTATTTCTTTTCAGGTTATACCAAATCAAAAGTTGAGGTTATTGAAATTAATTCAGTATTGGAAGATATGGATGCTGACATTATTAGTGAATGAAATTGTTAGTGTATCTTATAAGATTTGGTTACAAATATCATTGTTATTTTGGATATTTTATTTGGAATCTTTTAAGCTTTTAATTTAGGAGCTAGGAAACCAAAGTATGAATGTTAAGCAAGGAATGCATAATATGGAATTTTGTAATGATTGATGAAAACTATTTGCATTATTACTTTTTGTTTTATTTAAACAATTATTATATGGTATGATGAATTTTATTTTGTTAAAAATGAAATGTATGGATATTATGTTTGAATGTTATTATGTTTTAGTGAAAAAAGAATGAAAATAATATGATGAAGTTTAGTTGTTAAATTGAGAGCGAAAAAATATATTTTTAAAAAATAATTTTAGACAAAAAAAGTTATTCATGGATATCTGTAAATATCCGCGGATACCTTAAAACCCGTGGATTACCTGCTTAACTGATATCCGCATGGATATGGGGCAGATACGGATATCATATTTATCCAACGGGGCAGACACGGATATCATACTATCCGCCCCCATGGATATCCATTTACATCCCTACCCATATATAACTATTCATGAAATAACCGTTCCAGCTGGGTCCAATTGCAATTTGAGTTAGGGGGTAAGGTTGTAAACCAAGTGAAAGCATTTTTAGTGAGGGAGCTTGGAAAGTACTTTATCCTGAGGCTTTCATCATTTGCAATCTCTCCGGCTTCAACCATATATCGGGCAACGTGTTCGATAGTAGATTCTGCCGTATCTCTTGAAAACTTAGTAAATTTTGGCACCTTCGTCCTAGGAGGTAATTCTGACTGGAGAATATAATCTACTATTGGTGACGTATAATTTGGCCTAGTGAAACCAGAGTTTACCCTATTTCGAGCCATTATTCTTTCGACCATGGCTGCTAAGTTGTTATCGACGGCCATGTTGTTATGTCGAACCTGTTGTATGACATAGTCTGCATCTTGGTTTCGATTCACCATAATCACTTATGGGTCTCTTTCTACTGAAATTGGTCCCTGGATCCTTTGTGGTTCGACCCTAAGAGGCTCGAGTCTAGGGAGTTCGACCCTCCCTTGATTTTCTAGATTGGCCTCAGGTAGGTTCTCTAAATCTTGTCGTGGGATGTTTTCCAAAATGGTTGTGTTTCTGACAGTGGCTGGCACACCCATAAATTCTTCCAGCTGTGCTAATTCCACTGCTAATTATTAGTTAGTCTGAGTAGTATTCTGGATCAATGGTTGAAATATTACCCTCATAGTCTGGGATAAGGTTTGAACCATTTGCAGATTTCTCTCATCCATTTGCTTCCTCAAACAAGCTATCGAAGTATTGGTCAGATTAGGGCCCTGAGTGGAATACCCCACACCTATACTTTGATTGTTTCGACCAACATTTATCCCAGATCCCGATCCTTGTAATGGCGAAGCCATCACATTCTCTGAGAATATTAGGGGAGCATTTTGGAGGCCTTGCATTACTGTCGTTGGCATTCCATATGGTGGGTTTCTTGGTAATGGTTGCGAAAACCCTGGTGGTAAAAAATGTCTAGACGTCGAAGTCCCTCCTGGAGGAGTTTGGGGATTTGACGCTTGAAGCCCAACATATTCTAACACGGGTTGGGTGTAGGCCCTTATGCTTGTCGACCCTGACCCCAACACTAATGGCATTGGTACAGGCCTAACAGGAGGCGGTATCTGCTCTCCTGTCGAAGGTACTGAGGGTGGAACTACACCATTCCTGGACACGTCACTAGGATTGGTGTTACTAGGCTGGAGATTAGAGCCATCCCCTCGAAGGTTTAGGTTATTTGACTAATTAACATCTATCGCCATTTCCCTAGTGTAATTTTTCCTTGGTCTTTCTTCGTTTGTAACGGCTATCTTACCACTTCTTAATAACATGCAACGAAGTTTTATCAAAGACAATAATAAAAACCGTAGTTTCGCAAAATTTTTACAAAAATTTCAAAAAAAAATTTAGCAATGTCCCACCGAGCGTGCTAATTTGTTTCCCTTAAAAATTGGAAAACAACCGCTGATCTTCCAAATCTAACTTTGGTGACTCATAGGATCGATCAAATTGATCCTAGGATATGTGCTAATTTTACTTGAAAGAATTATCTAAAACTGAACACTTCCACAGTGTTTATGAGAAAAAGGTTAATGTAAATGTGAGGATCGACTAAAATGAAAGGACATGAAATTGTAAGAAACAAAGTAAAAAGCCTTCAAAAATATTTAATCAAAGTAAAGCAAAATGCCAGAAAGATGTAAATTGCAAGGAAGTAAAGATAAACTCTTTAAGGTAAAGCAAAACAAGTTTCATTAAAACGTAGAAATGGTGTTTTTACATGATGTACATTCTCCTAGAACTCTTTTCTCTACACTCGGATACTTTGAGTAAATTTTAGAGTGACTTGTACAATAGTAAACTACAACACACTGAATTCCATTTCTAGAACCCCTATTTATAATAATACAATTAACTGCCATTAACCTCCTAAAATGACCAGCCCATGACAAGTGTCATGCCGCATGCATTTGCTTGCTGAATATGCGCCACTTGTCTTGTTCAGCAATGAGAAAGCATAACTACTCCCTCCTTTCTACATCGAAGTCCCCTCCTTTCAAATTCCACTAATATTTGGCCAACAGTCTCGGACGAAGGTGGCCTCTTTAGTATTTAGAAATATTTTATAAGTCCCAAACACTTTAATATTTCAACCACTCGAAGGTTTTTTCCAATCGAAGGTTTATTTCACATTCCCTTGACAATTTAATATTTGTCTCAACACTTTTCATTTAATGTGGGCGTCGAATTTGTGAGCTAACAATAGCACGCTAAGCGAGCTTTTCAGCGCGAGACCAGCGCGCCCCTGAAAATTCCAGTAGCTAAAGTCTCAAATCGCGCTAAGCGGACACCTACCGCGCTTAGCACACTTTCTGGAAAATGAGGTGCATTCTTCTGATTGCGCTTAGTGCACCTCTGAGGGCGCTTAGCATGATGCCACTTACTGCACTTAGTAGCCTTGTCTATAAATATCTCCCTTGGAAGATATTTTCACAACACTTGTACTTTTTACACTTTTCAGCATTTTGAGAGATAGAGAGGATTTTCTAGGTCAAAAACCTTAGGAACTCAAGGAGAAGTGAGAATTAAATCTTTGGAGCATCAATCCTCGACTCTTCGACTTTGATGCTAGCAAAGCTTCTCTTCTTACTTTTTGATCAAGCTACCATGGTGATGTGTAGCTAAACACTTTTGTGTCAAGATTAGAGTTAGTTAATCTTCCTTTTATGTATTTGTTTTGATCTTTTGTATGTGAACATGGTTATGATTAATAGATGATGAACATATTTGCTTTTAATGATGTATTTATGGTTTGAATCACTCTAGACATAGATTTTCCAAGTCTTGATCTAATTTCTTTATCTATTAACCAACAAACTTTAGACATAGATTTGAAAGTTAATATTCGCTTTGTATCGATCTTTATGTTTATTGTTTCGGTTGCTATTTCGAGAAATCATCTAGCGATTAAAACAATAATATTCACGGATCCGCTTTAGAAATGAACATCCACGATTGTATTGATTGAAACTAAGTTCACATACTTGATTAATCGGATACGTTTAAAAAGGATTAACAAAATCTAATCTTGACATGTTTTTCTTGGAACAAAACATCTTTGCTCAAATTTACTCTTTACAACAAACTTATGTTACAAAACAAGCAATCTTTTAAAAACTCTTTATTTAAAATGTTAAATTATTGAACGGCTAGCATCGACATATCTTGCATACAATTCTTGTGAATATAATAAAACACCTCAAAAATATTTTTCAACAGTCAAAGGTAAATTTTTATGTTACGTTCCAATATATGAAACAGAAGTGGTACTAACCAACATAATAACACTAAGTGTGTTGTGTCCCAGAAACAAAGGCATGAAATTCCGAAAGATTTGTTCCCAAAAGCGAAAATGCTGGTATTATCTTTTCAAAGATCCCATAATAATCAAATAAATACTTATTTTATTTGATAATTAGTAAAAAAAAATTCAATTAAGCACTAGAATTGACAATTAATCGACAATCATAAGAGATGTTTATTTTAGAAACATAATCAATTTGTATTAATATATAAAATGATATCGCAATAATATCCATACAATCAATTTCAAACAAACTTATCAATTATTTTCATAAATCAAAGAAGTGATTTCAAACACAAAAGGTTGATGAGAGGTCGTTGGAGTGAATCTCTTCTTAACAATGGAGTCAAAAACCATTGAATTTGTTTGAATAGTGTGCAAAGTGATCTAAAGGCATCAATCGAAAAGCATAATTCTCTTTTATTTATTATTACTTTTTGTCCAATTGTTATACTTTTGTTATTGTAGAAATGGAAAATGAGAAAAGCATTCCCTAGAAATCAGGAACTCCACTAAGTATTGTCTGTGCAGTGCATCCATAAAGGATTCTCTGCATAATGCAAAGAACTTCAACTAAAATTTACAAGAACCATAAAAATCAAGAAAACATGGAAACAACACTCATGTGCTTTCTTTATTATTTGTTCATAACATTTTGTTACTACTTTGCCAATTCTGTACATGCTATAGAATCCCCAAAGTATACAGTAATACAATCAGAATCAGATTTTCAGATCAGACTCTACAATGAATCCTCATGGATCTCCGCCTCATCGCCCGGAACTAATTCCTTCGAGCAGTCCACCAAAGCCGGATTTCACAGGTTTTATATATTTTATCAGTTAAATTTCTGTTGTTAGTATTCAATCTCTAACTTCTGCCTGTAACATTTATTTATATTTATGTATTAAAATCGTTGATCATTGATTCTATAGGTTGTATCAATATATTCACGGAGCAAATTTAAATTCTTCGAAACTTGCAATCACTGCTCCAATCCTAACAAGAATTCCTTCATCGGTGTCATCTGAGAATGGCTATAGTGTAAGAATGTATGTATCGCCTCGCTTTCAAGGGAAACCTCCGCAGCCAAATCCCGAACTGAAGTTGCAGGTTGAGAAATGCAAATCTCAATGCGTGGCAGTTAGGAAATTCAGTGGATATGCAAAGGATGATAACATTAACAAAGAAATTGAAGCTCTTGTTAGTAGCTTAAACAAGAAGATAGATAAAACTTCAGAAATAGTGCATGATGCGAGTTCGTATACGATTGCTCAATACAATGCTTCCTTTCGTGAAACTGAGAGGGTAAATGAAGTGTGGATAAATGTGTCAGGATTTAGAATTGATTGCTGAGAGTATATTGAATGTTTCAGTGATATTGTGCTTGAACTGTGTCTTGTTTCAATTAATAACATATTGGTTATCAAATCCGTATAGTATTGGATTCTTTGTATTGTATTTGTACTTCATTGGTTCGCACATATGCAAGTTGATTATTAATGCCAACAAACAAAATAATTATAATGTCTTAATAAATGACAATCAACTTTATTGTCTTTAATTCTCTCAAAAAAATATTGAAATTGATAACCAATTGTTAATTGGTCAAAGTGGTGATTGAGGTTGGATTTGGTAGATATGATTATGGTTATATCTCCGGCAACTGCAATCAGGAAGAAATTGAAATCACTTGATGCTAAAATTGATCTTCAAATCAATGTTTTAAAAATCGAACCGGAGATCGAAATGGTAAAATTTACGGTTTAAGGTTTAATTGGTAACCTATGGTCAAACCGTTTATTAAATAAAATAATAATATGAAACTAAATTTTAATAATACAACAATATCAATAATACATAACATAACATAGTTTTACACTTCATTTCAACCATCATTTAAGAATATTTTAAGCAAACTAAAAAATTACAATAAAATAAATTAAACTAATTTAATTTAAATCTAAAATAATATAACCTAATACCTAAAAATAAAGTTCAAATAATTAAGAATCCCTAATTTAAATATAATAGAATACCAAAATATAAATAATACAATATATTTCATTAAACAACAAAAAATAGAATTTGAGTTGAACTACGACAAACAAGTCTTAACTGACAACAACAAACAATATTGACTTGAAGGATAATCAATAGAGTTGAACATCGTGACTATTTTTTAAAAAGATGACATGATAATGATGGAGTGTGGTTGAAAGGAAAACTATAATAAAGTGACAAAACATAAAAGTTTGTATGGTTGTAAAAAACACACAGAATTCTTTTTTGTAATTGAGAAATGTATGTTAAGTTTTTTTATTAGTATATTAAAAAAAAAATTTAAAAAAGGTCAATTTGATGAACTTTTTTGAACCGGACAGTTTTATAAAATCGGCTCCGATTCTTTTGTTTGAATGGCTTTGGACAGTTCAATCCGTTTTTTTTGTTTAACTCTGGTTTTAACCCACTAGTGATTTTGAAAGGTTGACTCAACCGAATTCATCTCTGATTCTTGGTCCAACCGATTGAATCGGCCGGTTCGATCTGGTTTTTAAAACATTACTTCAAACCACATTATTCACTTCAATAGAGAATAGACAGTATAAATACGATTCATTGTGACAAGCAAGTATATCATAGAACCTATTGTTAAATATAATTCATAGTGTAAACAGATTTGATTTGATATGATTAGATTTGATTTTGAATATTTTGGGTCTTTTATGTTTTGGGCTTTTGTAAACCTAAAACTATAAATAGGGTGCCTTACTTTGTATTCAAACACAACATAGAATAGATTTCGCAGTTGTAGTGTTTAGCAAGTGAAAGTTCTATAAGCAATAAGAAATCTCACAGTTGTGGGTAACACATTCTCTCCAAATATTTCTTCTCTCATTCTTCTCTTTCTTGTTTGTTATTCTTCTTCTCTTTTGTTGTTCTTGATAATTACTTGTTATTACCATTACTATCATATTGTGGGTTTGTTCATCAAGATTGAAGGAAGTTCTTCATAGGGTGTGAGGTGAATTTCCAACATCTGGTATCTAGAGCTCCGGTTGAGAGATTCAAGGAAGAAAGATAGTGATGGCGATGAACTATCCGAACGGAAACTTTCCGGCGACCCTGCCAATTCTCAAGAAAGACAATTATGAGAATTGGTGCAAGCAGATTAAGGTGATTTTCTGTTATCAAGATCTTTGGGATCTTGTGAAGGACGGAGTAACATCGCTTGGGAAGAACGCAACGGAGGCAGAAAAGGTTGCACACAAAGAATTGAAGAAGAAGGATTATAAAGCATTCTTTATAATTCATCAGTGTGTTGATCCTGATAACTTTGAAAAGGTTAGTGATGTTGATTCAGCAAAAGAAGCATGGGAGATTCTTGAAAAGTCGTTTGGAGGCGCAGAGAAGGTGAAAGAGGTGAGGTTACAAACTCACAAGAGAACCTATGAGTTGCTTCAGATGGAAGACAACGAAAGCATTACAGATTTCTTCACCAGAGTTACAAAGTTGGTGAATCAAATCAAAGTATGTGGAGAAGCGCTGACGACGAAAGCAGTTGTCTCAAAAATCTTGAGATCGTTGGCTTCAAAATTCGACCACGTGGTAGTTGCCATAGAAGAGTCGAAAAACCTATCAGTGTTGACGAAGGAAGAGCTTCAAGGGACTCTTGAGTCTCATGAACAGAGGATGGCTGAGAGAGCTGCAGGAAAGTCGAAAGATATGGCTTTACAGGCGCAGTCAGAAAAGGAAAGAAAAGGCAAAGGTAGCTGGAATGGCAACAAAGGAGGAAACCAGTCGAATCAGAAGAAACTTTGGAACCAGGGAAACCAAAGAGGTGGTGTTGCAGGTAAAGGAAGAGGTGGTGGTCGAAAGACAGACAAAAGCCACATTCAATATTTCAATTGCCAGAAGTATGGTCATTATGTTAGTGATTGTCCAGAAAGGAAGAGAAATCAAGAGACTGATGCAAAGCTGGCGAAACATGAAGAAGAAGAAACATTGCTAATGGTCACAACAAAAGATGAAAAAAGATTCCAAGATCAGTGGTATTGGACTCAGGATGCTCATCACACATGACTGGAAGGAAAGATTGGTTTGTCAACATGAAGCCCTCGTCGAAGAACACAGTGAAGTTTGCAAATGATAACACTCTAGCAGCCGAAGGCGTTGGTGATGTTCTGATTATGAGGAAAGATGGCAAAAGGTCAACAATTTCCAATGTGTTGTACATACCAGGCATGAAGAGTAATTTGCTCAGTATAGGGCAGCTTGTCGAAAAGAACTACAAGATAGTTGTCGAAGACAAGATGATGAGAGTTCTCGACGCAGGTGGTAGATTAATCTTGAAGGCTCCAATGTCTCAGAATAGGACCTTCAAGATTGGACTCAATGTGATGGGGCACAAATGTCTAGCAACTGCAGCCAGCAGAGATGAGTGGTTATGGCATTTTCGACTAGGTCATCTCAACTTTAATGACATCAGAGAACTAAAGAGAAGAAATATGGTTTCAGGATTACCAGAAATCGACATTCCAAGTGAAGTATGTGAGGAGTGTGTTCAGTCAAAACAACACAAGAGTAGCTTCAGCAAGGATGCAAGAAGGAAGTCGAAGGCAATACTTGAAGTCATGTACTCTGATGTATGTGGTCCAATCCAGGTGGATTCGATTGGTGGCAATAGATACTTTGTCACGTTTATAGATTATTACAGTCGAAAGTTGTGGACTTACCTCATCAAGAAGAAAAGTGATGTGATTGAGGTATTTTCCAGATTCAAGTCCATGGTCGAAAGACAGAGTGGCCGAAAGCTGAAAATTCTGAGGACTGATGATGGTGGAGAGTGAAGGTGAGAAAATTACTTAGAAGGGGGGTTGAATAAGTATGAAAAATAATCCAAGATTCAAACACAGTTATTTTTATCCTGGTTCGTTGAACTCAACTACTCCAGTCCACCCTCTCAAGAGTGATTTGCCTTTCTCAGTCAAGAACTTAATCCACTATTTAATCAAACAGATTACAATAGTAACACCTAAGAATAACTGTTCTTAGTCTTCTCAAGAGCTACTGATCCCAACTGGATCCTCTTAAGGAAAACCTTTTACAATCAGTGTAAAACTATTACAAGAGTAAGAATGCTTCTAAGAAGCTATTATCACAACTGTGATATTTCTCTTAAGTTTTAGAACAATGTTACAACAAATAAAATATAAGAGCTTTTAGAGATTTGCTTTGAGTAATTTTTGCAAGTTGTTCGTTGCTGAAGAAGATGGAGTGGACTTCTTTATATAGGCACTTAGATCCATGAAGTCTTCTCAACGTTGAAGGTTGTGCTGAAAAGCCTGGAGCCTTTTGTCTTTACATTGGAGGCTGTGCTGAAAAAGCCTGATGCCTTTTGTCTTTTACTTTGCAGAAACTTTCCTTAGAATGGAATGCACATATAAAACCTTTTTGTCTGTGTTCTTGTGTCTAGCATAAAAGAGGAAAGGCTGTTGAGATATGCCAACGTACATATTCAAATCTTCTTCACTAAGTAAGTTCAGCTATCAACATCAGAGTCTGGATCTTCAGAATCTCCAGAGTAGAGATCTTTTGGATCTTCAGAGTCTTGGGATGTTCTTCAGATAGTGCTGAATCAGAGTATGTGCAGCTTGTGTGCTTGAGCGTGTAATTCTGTCAGAGCAGAGTCTTCTATATCAGATTCTCAATACTTATGCAGCGCAGTATCTTCAGAGTCTTTTGATGACTAAGCTTCTGAACTCTCAGAGTCTTTTATTCTTTAGAAACTTTTGCTTCAGAATATTCAGTAGACAGCACTCAGATTCTTCTGGGAGCAGCGTTCAGATCTTCATTTAAGATGCTTTTGAACCTTTGAAGCCTTTCATAATATCATTGTTCAGATCCAAATTTGCTCTTTTAAGAATATTTTCTTTAGTACCTGTAGCAAACAGTCTAGAACAAATTTAGAGTATATAATTCTTGAATACAAAATTCATAAGTGTTATCATCAAAACATAGAGATATAACTAAGAAACAATCTGTGTTCTTACAATCTCCCCCCTTTTTGATGATGACAAAACATGAGAAATTTTGTTCAATAAAAAGATATGAATTATAACTCCCCCTGAGATTAACAATCTCCCCCTGAAATAAATACTCTAATAGAAGAAAACACTTCCCTTTTTGATTAAGTATATTTCAGATTCAGAGCCTGATGCAAGAGGTTTGACTTTCAGAGTCAAATCTTGATACCAGATAATTATGACTTCCTTCAGTCAGAGCGCCTGGTTATCATCTTGCTTGAATTATCTTCCAGAGTAAAGGTATTAGAGTAAGCTATCAGAGTTGATTGA